TAGGCTTTGGGGTTTATGGTTGAGGGAGACTACAGAAAAAGGAATCCTAATTTTGGTGTTGCTGGGTTGGATGTGTTGTTTTTGGGAGGGGGGTGGTCTAGCTAAGGAACAATTGGCAACAACCCCATCTCATCTCTGTAAAGCCCTGTAAGCTAACATGCTGTAGTAGGTTCCATTTTCTTTCCCACTCCCCAATACGCCATTACGCGTTGGATACTGCCCCCAACTCAGCTACTGTTGGAAAGCAGGCAGAATATCTGAAATGCGAAGCTAAAGGTTTTAATGGCATGCCTATCATAGACTTTTACTGGGTGTGGTAGTGGCCGCCCTACCCTCTAAAACCCTAAACCCTGAAGCCGTAAACCCTCCAACCCTGAACCCTCAAACCCTAAAACCCTGAACCCTAAATCTCGACCTCCATGCAAAAACGAAGGAAGAATTGGCATCAAGACGTCAACGGTGGAGGCGGGCACGGCGCCTGTTGCAGGCTCTGGGGGATATGTCCTATGGGCCGAGGGAGGGGTGCAAGGTTTATAGTAGCCCCGCTTAGGGTTAAGGAGGGTTTAGGGTTTAGGGTTTACGGCATTATGTAAGGGCTTTGAAGGAGTTCATTCGGGATTTTTGAGGCTCAGGGTTTAAAGGTGATGTTGCTCCCAAAGTGCAAAGTCAAATAGGAAGAGCGTGGAACAAGAAATGGCAATCCGTTTTGCATGGAGATTATGGTTAGTATAGCAGAGAGTTTCCAAAAAATGGGCGCCGTTTTGGGAGCTCCCAAAATAAGCATAGATAGTTGTAATGTATCGGTTCCATTGATACTTGATACCTACCGATAATCAGTCGATAGAGTGTTGCAAGGTATTGCTATTGACGGTGTCAGTGCATGGCCTTCCACCCCCTCGACCCTCCACCCCTCCACCCTCCACCCCCTCCACCCTCCCTCAGTGTGGGGTGTAGGGGTGTAGGTGTAGGTTGTAGGGGTGTCGGGTAGCCGTAGGGGTGTGTGGGTGCAGGGGTGTGGGGTGTAGGGTGAAGGGGTGTAGGGTGAAGGGGTGTAGAGGTGTAGGGGTGTGGAGTGTAGGGTGTAGGGGTGTAGGGGGCAGAGGTGCGCGGATACACAGGTGCAGGGGTGAAGGGTTGTAGGGGTGTGGTGGTAGGGGTGTGGGTAGCCATTCGATGCCGATACGCTTCGACCGTTGTTTTCACGATACGATGTCGATAAAGGTCTTGTTGAAACGGCCATGATAATGAGAATTCTAGTGTGTTGTGCTTTGGTTTGCCTTTCTGCTGCTTATGGTAGCTATCACCTGTTTTGGTTTGGGCGTGCAGGCTTGGTTTCTGAACTGGCTGAGGGGAATTTTGACAGGATGCTCTTGTTCTGTGTAGCACCAAGTTGATAAGTTGGTTCTTGTTGCAGCCTACCCCTTGCCATTGGAAAGACCTGAAGTATGGGGAATATCGAATCCTTTACGATGCGTTCCTAAACCCAAAGCCCTGGACGCTAAGCAAAAACGCCCTAAACCCCTTAACTGACTGGTTCTGGAAGTCCTGAGTTGCTTTTGATGTTTTAGGGTTTAGGGTGATTGCCAAAGGCATGGTTACGGTGATTGCTGCTGTCAAATGGTTGTGTCCAGTGGTGCATATCCTCTTACTTTTTTCCGCGTTACAGCTGCCATAGTTGGAACTGAAGGCCCTAAACCCAGAACCCTGAGCCCTACACCTGGTAAATGGCTACGTGGTGTCGCATGCAGGGCCAGATCTCTCTCCGCATGAAGTGCCATTTTGTTTTTGCGATGGGACGATTTTCGCTGCCCTGTGGGCTTTACTACTGGATCTGCTGGGGGTAACAGAGGCAATGCAAAAAACTTAAGCCCTGAGCCCTAAACCCCAAACCCCCTCCCTAAGACTTGGGTGCCTACACTCCTACACCCCTTCCGCGCACCCCTCCACGCCCCACCCTCCACCTGCTATCTTCCCTTGCGATCAGCACGTGGTGTGGGGTGCGGGATGTAACGTCGGGCTGTGGAGGGGTGGAGGGTGGAGGGGTATAGGAACGCGTTTAAGATAGCCCTCCATGAGGAGAGCTCCTTCACGGTTGCAGAGATGGACCTGCTGGAGACCAGCGGAATGCTTGAGTCGCTGGAGAAGAGTCTGTCTGAGCCCCCGTCTGAGCCCCCGTCTGAGCCGCCGGAGAAGAGTCTTGGATATAGCTTTAGGGTTCTGGGTTTAGGGTTCAGTGTTCCAGGGTCAGGGACATACAGGGTTCTAGGGATATGTCGAGATATGTGGGGTATATGGGGATATAGGAGGGCAGCAGGGTTAAGACGGGGAGGGTTTACTCTTTACATGAACATGCTGGATGTGTGCTGTAGAAGCCTGAACAATTTCCACATCTGTGGTCCTCGACTGTTTTGTGGACTTATGGTATAGGATGCCTCGTTTCATTAAAGTACTTCGTATTTTTCAGGATAATCACCATAAACCGTCATAAACCTGATTTTCATTATTTTCCCATTTTCTTCTCCATTAGACTGTCCATTTACTATTGGAGCGATGTCCACCTTAAGCCCTACACAGTTCCTGTAGAATCCCTACATGGTACCTACATAATCACTGCAAATCCCCTACACCTTAAGTCCTACCCATCTAAACCATAATACCCTCGTATGTCCCTATATGCCATATATATATACATATATGTCTACGCATCCTTGTAATCCATAAGCCCCAAAACCCTAAACGCTCTCGGCTTAGGGTTTGGGGTGCACGCGAGGCCCCAGCCAAAGCTTGAGGAATCGGACCATACGCCTAGGATGCGCAGCTTGGTCACATGCAGGGTGGGCTGAGCTTCTGCAGGGACATACACAGATACATATGGGCATGTAGGACTGTATAGGACAACGTGGAGTTTCCAAAATTTTCGAGAATCTCAATAATAATATCGGTTCTTTAATATTATGATGTAGGGAACTGGTTGCAAAAGCTACGCTGGAAGGTCTTGAGGTTGTGATGCCCGTGTCCTGATTTCTGTGCTCCAGCGCCAAGGTCCGATGTCACGCTAAAGACCTGGTGAATATGTTGTGCCCATCGCGATCCATATGCTGTTCCGCTTGAGTGATAGCAAGCTAGTCCTCCCTTGCTGCCTCACCTTGGCTGCCGCCCAGCAGCCGCAGCACCACTAGCAGCACTGCCACGACTATCACCACTGCTACTGCTATGGTTTCTTGTGGTATTGCTACACGGCCCAGTCTTCCTGCCCCAAGGCTGACCCCAGCATACACATGTAACACACATGCTGTTGCCTTGGTGCCATGACTCCACTATGCTGGAAAGCAGGCTGACTAGTAATCACGCATGTTTTGGATGCGCTGAATCTTTTTTCTGTACTCAATTATGCGTAATTCCTGTAACTACAATAGCTAATCAGCTAATCCCTTCAGCTGCACCAGTTTTCACAACACAACGGACTCAAGGGTTTTGTAGGAGGCGGCAGATCTGTTCGTAGTTGCATGGGCATTTGTATTTAGGTGACCCCCCATCCTGTCCTGGTGACACTGAGGGAAAATGGCTTTTGTAGTAGGGTCTGCAAAATTATACCACTATTCTGAGTTCTTGTTGAACAGCAGTTTTCACTTTTATGCATACCTGGGCCCAATTTAGATTAACAATGATGATTTCTAATAGGATTTCAACAAGAACCCCATCTTGCAGGGACACCCTGTAATAGAAGGATCCCCATATTCCCCGTATTCTATCTACTTAAGGGGGACTATATCAAAGGGAAACCTTAAACCCTAAACCTTAAATCCTAAACCTTTAACCGTAAACCCTAAACCCTAAGCCAGGCAAGTGGCTTTGGGAGCTCATGGCCTGGTGGCGCTACTTCGGAGACTGGGTTGCTGTTGATGAACTTGAATGGGTACCTTTTGAAAGGGAATATAGGGACTATATAGGGACTATATAGGGGTTATATTGGGATGTATAGGGGTTATATTATTGGGATGTATATGGTTTAGGGTTTCTGTTAATGAATTTAAATTAAGTTGCCATAATGAGTGTATAGGGTTTAGGGTTTGGAGTTAAGGGTTTAGGGCTTAACTTGCCATAATGGGTATATATATATATTTACATATATATATATAGTAATTGATAGGGTTTCCCCAATATAGTAGCTTCAATTAAGTTCCTTAACAGCAACCCAGGAGAAGGAGCCCCCGCCGGGGTTGGCGCCTAGGCTGGCAATTTTTGGTGCAAGGCCTTAAGCCGTAAACCCTAAACCCATTTGGTTCAGAGTTTAGGAAGTTCTCGGGGCGGGGGATAAGGGGAGGAGGTTTGGTTTTGAGTGTGTGAATTTCTGGTTTGAGTTCTCAGGTTTTTCAAGTTCGGGTTGAGCGCTGAGTTTTTGAACTGGCTGACTGGTCCTACGAAGACAGGCTAGGATAAGCCTCAAACATGCAAAGACCACAATTAAGCAACGTATTCTCATTATGCCTGGTGATGCGAGTGTTCCAGTTTGGCTTTGTGGGGTTGGAGGGTGCCCGGGTCTAGTTGCTGAAGTTTTGCGATTCACCACGTAATATCAAGGGTTCCAGGGTTGTACTCCTACTGCCAGTCCAGGGATCCTCAAGTACAGAGATGCTGAACAGCCAACGCCTAACCCTTGTTAGTTTAGGGTTTATGGCTTTCAGTTCAGGGTTTAGGGACAGTAAAAAAACATGTCCTGCACAAATTACAAGATCTCCCTGATCTTGAAGCACTTCGAGTCTGATGATGTGCACATCTTGGCCCAATTTGCAAAAGACTAGTCGCCGCTGGTGGTTTACAAGTGACATGCGGTATGTTGGCAAACCAGGAAGCTTGTAGTGCACAAGTTCCAGTGTTTGTTTTGAATGGTGTGTGGACCTTGTCGAGTTGTGGGTGAGGCTTAACAATTCTTCATTCGTCCTTGTGGCCACATTGTCGTGCCCATAGTTCAGATCGTCTTGGGGTCTACATACGGAGGAGGAAACAGGGATATAAAAGGAGAACGTACGGATGATAAGTTGTGTGCTTCATGGAGTAGATGCTCTACCAGAAGTGAGCCTTGTCCTTCCCAGGGTTTGCAGGGGAGGGTTGGATTGTATAAGTACTGCGTATTCGACGTCCATCCAGGATGAACAGCTTCGGGCGCAGGGCTTGATAGGATCCCAAAAGAGTTGCACTGCACTGTGGTCCTAAACCCTAAACCCTAATTCTCCTAAACCCTAAACCCTAATTCCCCTAAACCCTAAACCCTAATTCCCCTGAGTCGCAGTCCAAGCCTCACAGGGTGCATACTTGCAGAGGGAGGGCGCTACAACATCTGGTCTTGCAATATGGCAGTCCTCCTACCCAGAGTCTTACTGGGGGTTTAGTAGGGAATAAGGGAAAACATCATATAGGGTTTTTAGATGGATGATATTCCGTTATTCCCTACGAACCACTAGCAAGAAGTTTCTGGACGTCTGCGACAAGGGATTCCATACGAGGCGTCTACGCTTGAGCGGTTTGTTTGCTGACCGCACGGCCACCGCCCTCGCACATAATGACACCCTGAACCCTAAGCCTTGAGCCCTAAACCCTAAACCCTAAACCCTGAACCCTAAGCCCTAAACCCTAAACCCTAAGCCCTAAACCCTAAACCGTCCAGTCGACAAATCGTTCTGAGGTAGCCATGGACGGAGGTGGTAAGGATTTGTGACATATTTGTCAATTCCTTTTTCTGGGTTGCTGTTAAGGAACTGAAATTAATAGTCATGATTTTGAGGAAGCCCATTACCCATAATATGCGAACTGGATGCAAGTTCCTTATCAGCAACCCAGTTGATTTTCATGTAATGTAGGACCGCACTTCTGATCGGCTAAGCTTGCAGTTGCTGACGCTAAGGAAATCTTCGAGAGCCTTGGACTTGCGTTTTGATCACCGCCTGGATTTTCCATACATAGGGAGACCCCAATAGACCCCATATAGTATACTCCTTATTCTGGGACCCCCTCTAAGATCTACCCCGAATGTCTAGAATTTTCTAGAATCCTTACATCAGGCCATCATGTGCAGCAATCTTAAACCCTAAGCCCCTAAGCACTAACCCCCAACTCTAGGCCCTAAGCTTTGGATGTCTCACCTTGTTTGGGATGCACCCCCAACAATAACCCGCTGCCCCGAACATTAACCCCCTGATATCGAATATTCTTTACATTCCCACCGTGGTGTACTACAACATATTGGGAATATTTTAATGTTAGGATATCAGGGGGAGGAGGTTATAAGAGAATACCCTGAAAACAAAGGACGTCTAGGGTCCAGGTAGGCAGTAAAGTAGATCCGGGTCCTTCAAACTTTGTACTCAGGGGTCGGGGCTTGAAGACAAGCCTAGACGCTGGTTGGCGCATTCTGAGTACGGGCCTTCAAAGGGGCGGTTTCGGTGAAGGGTGGAAGGCCTGGGTTGTGCTGTGGGTTTGGGATGGCATGCCTCCAACATGGTCTTCATGCTTTGCGCCGACTTCGTAGTTAAGGTGGATCCCAACCCCAAAGTGCCTCAGCACCAGTCCTTTTTTTGGGTTCCAGGAGCTGCAAGCCTTTCGATCCCCCCACTCAGCCATGCCCCAGAGCGGGGCAATCGCATCCAGTCAAGGATCAAGCAAAGCGGAGTGCTTCTCGCTGGGCCAGGGCACGGCATTGTTTGGAGGCTTTGGGGGCTGTGTCCTGAGCGTCGAGGGATGCATTTGGAGTTCCGCGCCAAGGGGGATGAGGTAAGGCTGGTTGAGGGGCGGGATCAGGGTTAAGCCGTTCCTGGTCTGAGTAGCCCAATCGTGATCATGATGCTCTTGCTGTTGTTGCTGTTGTTGCCGTTGTTGCCGCATGATCGACAGGAATGTCAACGGAATGACTCACCATTTTCCCCTGGGGCACCTATTCATTGAAGCAGGAGGTGGTCTCTTGTGAGTACGTACTATGACGAGGGCTGCCCAGATGAGCTACTGTCTAAAATCCTAGTATCCCCTTAATTAATAACCCCTTAATAGTCCTTAACCCCCTTTAAAGAGTTCAGACCCTGAACCCTAAATCCTAAACCCTATATAACCCCTCTTCAAGGACTTTAGAACCTACAGCGAACCGAATTCTAAAAGCATGGCAGGTTTGAGCTCTCCAGACAATCCTGTATATTGGGGTTATATTGGGGTAGTGGAAATGAACATGGAAACTATTACAGTTGCTGCTGCGTAGGTCGCGTTGTGAGATGCACGCATGCAGTTCTCCCGCAGCCTGTTGTAGATCAGGAAGGTTGTAGGAGTGCGAGACCTAAGCCTCTAGTTACCTCCAGCTCTAGGAATAACATACCTATATAGTAGTTCTAATGTACAGTGTAACACGTGCCGTAGAGCACCAGTTGTATAGCACAGTAGTAGTGTACAGTTTTCATTTCTGAGAAGAATGTTCTTGTTTCCCCTTGCGGGGTGCGTTGTGTAGAAAAAAGTGCCGTCGCTCGCCATAGCCCTGCAAAGTTCGGCCATCGCCTCAAGCGGGTGATGAGCCCAGACCTGCTATTGCTCTCCTCCGTAGCAGTACGTCCTTGAAGTACTCGGGCGACATGTCGAATCAGGAGTCGGGAACGGCTTCCAGTGGTCCTCCAGGACTTGAGTCGACTGATGCAGTCGATAGCACATCGACTGCCCAGTTAGCTGCTGGTAATCCAAACCCATTCTTGTCGAAATGGCGCAAGCGGAGTTTCGCCTTAGGGCGGCTCGGCCGAGACCGTGGAAGGTCGCATGGTGGAATAAGTGGATGCAAACGCGTGGCGCGTTCCAGTCAAGGATGATGCGTCCATAGTGGACGAACATCCGCCTTAACTATGATGCGGAACCAATAAATCCTCGAGGGACTCCAGTGAGGCACACCGCTGGCGGCGAGATGCTTCCGAGAATTACGAATGCTGCACCACGCGAGTCTGAGATGGATCAGGCTACAGTACCAGACGCTCTGAACACCAATCATGGTTTGGCTGCTGGGACTCAAGCCCATACTGGCGGTAGTGATGCTGCTCAGGGTTCGCCGGATAGGTACAGTCTTTCGACAGCGGGTCTGATTCAGGCTACAGGCCAGTTACTTGGCCTACAATTAGATCAAGCCAGTGGCCAAGTTTATGACCTACAGTTAGATGCAGCCCCGGCTGCTGTGGATTTGGCTCGGTTAGCTGCTGGAGACAATATGTCAACTGACGGATTGGAGCAGGACTTGAGCCGTGCGTTTCCGGAAAGCACGGCAACAGTCACACAGCCCAAAAATACGCCAAACGCTGGCCAGAATGGCAGTGTTACAGTTGACACAATCTGGAGTTATGTCAGAAGATGCAAGTGCGATTTTTCAGTTGTTGCTGAATCAGAACGACGCTTTACAGGAACGGATTGCAAGCCTGGAAAAGTCACGTCCTGCTGCAGTGATCTCGGCGCATACGGCGCTAGAAGGAGCTGACGACATTGGAAACGCTGCAGAGAGTAGTAGGCCTGGCGGGTCAGTGCTCTCGCAACAAATTCTCGGGCTTCAAGCCCAGACTCATGGTCATGCAGTATGTAGAGCTGAGGGTCAAAGACCCAGTTTTGCTTCACCTTCTGCAGGAGTTTTGTTTAGTGGGGGTTCACAGGCTGGAGTCCCTGTTGGTAATCCGTCTTTAAATTCTTCTAGAGTTGGAGGTAGTGTATCCCCAAAGGTCTCGAGGATCCCAGGCTCATCCGAAATGGTGTTCCTAGGTATCGTCAAGCTAAGCATTGTCTCCGTGGACTGGTGTCGTCCGGGTCCACATTGGTCCTAAGGTCAGGTCAGGTGGATTGGAGGAAGAATGCAGGCGTTGAGATGGGTTCCGTGTTGGGTCAAGGGAGTCTATCAGGACAGCAAGTAGGGTGCACGGGAACTGAGTCGGCCACTTTTGTAGCTCCCCCTCCACCGTTGCCAGTTCACTTGTCTCGGTCACGGTCAGGTGGTGCAACGCACCACAGTCATACCATTGCTGTGGAAGCACATGGTCAAGTGCGGAGAGGAGTTAGTGATAGTCAAGGGAGAGTACGGGTTCTATCGGTTGAGAGGAGCCGCGTGGGTGGAGTTGATCGGAGTTGCACGCGGAAGTGGACATGTTGATCATGAGAGCACAAGCCAATTAAGCGCCCAGCACCCTAATGACGGAGTTAACTCATGCTCGCGTGGGGTATGAAGGGCAATGGGGTGATGATAAGGCTAGAGATGTTGGGCCCCCTATACCTCAGCTTCCCAGTATTGAGTCCTGTCAATGGGCTAGTGCGTCTCCACAAACTCCAATAATTACTCGAGTGCCTCGGGGACCACCACCAGTAACTCCTCCTAAGCCACCTCCTGTACCTCCGTTGTCAAGTGATGAGGCTATAGCCGGTGTTGCATGGCTACGAAAGGCCCTAAATGCTACCTTCCATGCAGTAAGGCCAGAGGATGTCAGCAAGCATACATCCCCGCTGCCAGTGCTAGATCCTAGTAGTGGATTTGCGCCCTGCATCGCCGGTGATTGGCTGGCCCAGATCAATTCGGCTGCAGTATGGTGGTCCGAAGTGCGGGACAGAGCTCATGAATTGCGGCTAGTCCTCAAGACAAGTTGGCCATTAAAGCGGTTGGGGAAGACGATAAACCCCCATGTGACGATTCCACAGCCATAATCTTCAGAGTTTTGACTGCCTTTCAACCTGGCGGGTTGACCACTATGTCCTTTACGATATCCGCATTTCGTCATGAACTGCAAGTGGACACAGTCCCCTTGCATGAAAGGGTTACACAGTTGTCTCAAGTTATCCTTGCGGAGCTCGAAGCAGCCGTGGGTAACGACGGCTAACAGGATAAAAGACCGCGAATTGCAGGAATGCAGGTGGATGGTGGTGAGGACCCAAAGAGTAAAGGTAAGGGCAAGCAGAAGAGTCCTAAAGGTGAAAGGTGAAGAGGGCCAAAAGGCCAAGGCGGGGGACGCCTCTAAGAGTGATAACAAGCCTAAGGCCAAAAGTGATCCTAAGGCCACAAACAAACCGCAGTGTTTTAAATGGGTAGACGACGCTGGTTCAGGTGGAGGCTGGTATGATGAGACTGCAGAGCCTAAGGGTAAGGGAAAAGGCAAAGCAAAAGGTAAGGCTATTGCAAAAGTTCAAGCCTCTAGTTCCTCTTCGTCAGCCGGTCCACCGAGTAACTTGACCATGCCGCGCAGCTTTTGCTCTCCCACCCTCTCATCCCGAAGAGTGGATGAACCTGCTTCTCTCGGTCGCAGTTCTGGCCTTCCGGCCTCTTTTGACGCCGCTAGAACCGTTCTCAGGAGTCTTTGGTTGCTCAGGATTGCACCTACACACGACTGCCTGCCCAGCTGTCGACTTTTCAGCCTCCTCGCGTGCAGGGAGGGTCCAACATGTTCTTGTTTCCCCTTGTGGAGTGCGTTGTGTAGAAAAAGAATGCCGTCGCTTGCCATAGCCCTCCACTGTTCTGCCATCGCCTCAAGCAATAGCAATGGGTTGTATTGGGGTTATATTGGGGTAGTGGAAAAGAACATGGAAACTACTATAGGAATAGGTCAAATCGGGGTTTTGATCCTACCAGTCTTCGACTCCTATACCTTTGCCGCAGTGCTGAGGGAGTTTCTCAGTGTAATCCCCCCAAAAACCTCTTCTCTAATCCCAAGATATATGTGGGGTCCCCAAGATACCCTTCTTTAACGAAACTACCATGAGAACATTCAGGAACCAAGACCAACTTACGCGAGAATCGGTCTGATTGCCCACTCCAAGTCCCCTCCTCTAATATTTTTGAACCACCCCCCAATATTCCCATGGTGCCACATATTGCCATCACAATAGACTGAGAGTATCTTTTAGGTAGACCCCCCCCCTTGTAACAGTGGCATGATTCAATGATCGGAACATGAGAGAAGCCTTATTTAATCACCACTGTGACTGTCATTTATAGTCACCATTACTGTGTGGAGGGTCCAGCTAAAGTACCTCTAACAATCGGGGGGTGTTTTTTGTACGCCAAGGGGAGGTGATTGTCCAAGCACCCTGCGCGGTTGGCAGTTTCATCCCGAAGACAGCAACATCCGGCAAACCATCCGGGAGCTGCCTGGAACATCCCTGAGGAGGGCTCCTTTACAGCTGCAGAGATAAATCTGCTGGAGACCAGCGGAATGCTTGACTCGCTGGAGAAGAGTCTTGGATGTAGTTCAGGGCGCATGGCTAGTTGTGGGTAGTGCAATCATGAAATAACCCGGCAACGGTTTGAGTAGCACAAATAGATGAAACGGCTGTCCGGCGGTGTTTGGTTCGATTTCGGTGGGGTTCTTGGGTTTGGGATGGGGATGTACATGGCAAGCGTGGAGTGATTCCTGGGCTGACTTCTGGAGGATAGGGGACACAGGGGGCATGCCAAGAAGTACCCCGATTGTGGCTCAGGCTGGAGCGGCTATACCAACGTAAGCGTGTCGGTACCCGCAGCTCAGTCACAGCAAAGGATGCATAAGCACTGGGGGGAAGCTTCAGGTCAGAGGTCCCAGGGTCCGAAGCGCGCGGTCATGTGGCTTGTTTAGCTAAGGGCTTACAACTTGCAGCTAGCCTGGAAGGTCGTAATGCTATCATAGCCTGCTCATTACGATTGATTTCTGGTTCTGCTTGAGTGGTGGGCCGATGGGCATCGCATAGCATGTTGCAAAAAACCTCCTGCTCATGCTGCTGCTGCTGCCGCCCCTACAAAGCCCTCTCATCCATCTTATTCACATGCATCCAACGCCAGCCACCGCGCCACCGACCCCGCGTGCCACCGCCACCGCAACACTAACGCCAGTGGGTGATGCGGGAAGGGAGGGGCAAGAGTCGATTCAACATGCGAGCATGTGAGCGAGCTGCTGTCCGAGAAGATAAAGCTTTTGCAACCCTCATCCTTCCTGAGAATTGCTTTTGTATCCAGCGAAGCAAAAATGTAGATGAGCAGCAATACCAGACGTGGCTAGCCCCAGAGCCCAAGCCTATATGTCCGTATGCAACATCCATAGCAAGCACGCGCACAGATATATATATATATATGTAAATATACATGTACACACATATATATATTTACATATCTTGCTATAGCTGCTGCTGCTGCTGCTGCTGCTGTTGCAGTTTCTGAGGCACTTGGCTTCAGAAGCTCTCCGCCTGGTGGCGCCGCTCCGCCGAACATGCTCCCAACCAGCCGGGTGCCGAGGCTGTTGTTAAGTATCTCGGGTTAAGAGTTTTAAGCTTGAGGTCTTCAAGTTTGAATTAAAGGAGTGGGATTTTTTTTTGGTTTGGGGCTTTGGGATTCGTTTTTTTGTTTTTTTTTGGTGTGAGCTTCTTCAGGACAAGTAATTATGCCTGCAATCAGAACAGAATGCAAAAAAAAGCAGGCTTCATCATGATGTTGCTGTTCCCATGATTCTTTTAAAGGCAGGAGGTGAGGGGTGTGCAATTTGCAGAGGGCGACCAATAGACACCAACAAAACTTCATGAAAGATCTGTCTCGTGATCAAAATAGGGAGCACGGATAAATCATGCCTTGTAACATTTTGCTTGTGATTCAATACAAGTTTGTGAAGTTCTTGGTTTGGGATTTTGCTTGGCTCTTCTGCAGGCCTGCTGATGAGTTTTTCTTGCAGTTGTATATTCGTCTTCTCAGTTTTCTGCAGGATGAGACTGGCGTCTGCAGTATGTGCGAAGTGTTGAGGTTATGGGGCCTAGCTGCAAACAAGTATACCCAAACCCTAAACCCTAAACCAGTGTGAAGGTAGTGTTTGTGTGCTGAGAGTTGTTTGCCGCATTGTGCAGGAGGCAAGCTGCAAGGGAGGGCTCTGGATGATCCCACCATGAGTAGTGGTCAGAAGGGAGAAGCGGTTTAGGGCTTAGGGTTCAGAGCCCCAATGGTCCCTATTGGTTCAGGGGGCCACTGAAGCCGTAGGGCATGATTGCTGGGTATCCGGGGTTGAGGGCTCAGGTTTGATATGATCCCTGCAGTTGTAGGAGGATTCGATACTGTGGGGACTATGGCTACGGTGGTTCTGCAAGAGTTTGCGCCATTGTCTCTGCATACTTAAAGAAGTCGGTTGCACTAGACAGAGGTCTGAAAGATGAAGTCGCAACCGAACAAAACCCGCAGCTTCATCTTGTTTGCGCGTTCTGCAGCTCAGGAACTCTTCGCGAGTCTCGGAATGCGATTTGATCAGCGCCCGGAGCCAAACCACTCTCGTCAGGTTATGGTAGAAATATTTGCTAGCCATAATATCAAGAGCAGTGGTTCGCAGCCAAAACAGACTCGCGCAGGAGTTCTGCCGACCTAAACGCCCAGATCTGCATGGAAATGGTAACATCTAAAGCGCCGCTGCCCGCTCAGCAGCTTCCCCTCAACAAGCCGCTTCACCTTTGTCGGCATGCCGATCCCAGGAAGCGTTTACAAACGCGAAGCGCTGGGAGCGAGCACGGCGCTATTTGGAGGCTGAGTCCTGCGGGCTGAGGGATAATGGAAAAGAAAATTAAATGGAAACTACTAGACTGGGGTTTCGGGATAATGGAAAAGAAAGTGGAAACTACTAGAATGGCGTTTAGGGATACGGGAAAAGAACATAGAACATACTGCAGTATATTGGGGTTATATTGGGAAAATGCAGACAATGGAAGCTACTATAGTATATTGGGTTAAGTGTTGGTCGAGGGGCTTTTTTTGCGGTGAGGAGTTTAATGCCAACTCGCGAAGCACAGTTGCAATTCTTGTTGACAATCACCGTCACGGTGAGGACAATTGTTGCGGCAGGTCTGTTTCTATTCGTGTTGCTTGGTTTGCTTGCATGGAATCTAAGGATGGCCTTTACAGCCTAAGCTTTCATTGCAACAGGTTTCATGGGTTGAGCCGCTAGGATTTGTAGCTAGGGTTGTTGGGGCACCTACAGCGTATTGCGAGCAAGGACTAGGCCAATTTTGTGTGGATGCAAGCGGAATCAAAGAGATGCCTCAAGGCATCCTTCTGTCCCTACCCCGGGGAAAGACCGCGCCCAGCGCAAAGAAACAAGAAAACACACAATCACATGAGCCATAGTCTAAACTCCTTAAAGGGGGTTATGTAGGGGATTATATAGGGAACTACTATAGGGGTTACTAAGGGGGATACTAGGAGTTTAGACTATAGCTCACATACAAGTCTGAGAGCCTTTTCCTGATGGCCGAAACTGTCCAGAAAACTGATTGAAGCTCTGGCCTTCCCAGGGGTAGGTTTCAAGTGTCTTTCCATTGTCAATTATCTTAACTACTGGGTTTAGGGTTTAGGGTTTGTACCTATCTAATCCCCAGAAAGCCATAAAAGTTTGCGGGCCTTGAACCTACGCTAGATCTTCGCTGATCATGTGACTTGTTGGGACTGCACGAAAGCAGAACACCGACGAAACCCTGGGGGCTCATTAAGGTGTTGGCAACCGAACATAACCCTAAACCCTAACCCTCCCCAAGCCTAAACCCTAACCCTTCTGCAGTTAGTCACCAACCTCCCTCATGTTGCTGTTTCTCCATTTTCTATGTAATCCCCAGCGCTTCCCTGACAGCGCCCGCATACTGCTAGGACGCCTAGGGACCCCCTATCTCATTTTTTTTTACAACATAAACTTCGACAGCCCCAAAACAATGCTGCAACCGTCCTTTGAGCCGGGTGAAGCCTCCCTGAGGATAGCTCGTTTTCGGCTGCCGAGATGGATCTGCTTGAAAGCAGTGGAATGCTTGAGTCGCTGGAGAAGAGTCTTGGACGTAGTTCCAGGAGCCTCAGTAAAGGTTATACAGGGCGTCGCAGATGTATAGGGCTTAGAGTTCAAGGTACAGGCGGATCAAAATCTACATACGGATTTCCAAAAAATAGGCTTCCCTTTGAGGGCTTCCTAGCATGGAAGATTAAGATAATATTTGGCAATCTATAAGGGGGCCCCCATTGTCACAAACATCACATGAGTGTCATGGCCGATGCGGGCTTGGCTGCGGAGCGCGCATTTGTCCTGGACACACCATCTGCAGGGTTGTCAAAATTATTGTCTCTTTTTGGGTAACCTTCATATTAGGCGCCGTATTATCAGAGGGACGCAAGCATGGGCGATAATTTTTGGCAACGTACGATTTGGGGAGCTTTTCATTGCAAGCATGGGAAGGAGAGTTCTTTAAGAGGATGGGCTCGGAGAGGTATCCCAAGAAGCGTCCGGTACAGATACACTAAACCCTCAATGAGGTAGTAGTTTCGATTTTCCTTGGCATTGCCTATATACCCCCATAGATTTAAAACCGATATTGTATGTACCTGTCTAGACCCCAACCCCTAAACCCTAGACCTTAACCTTACACCCTAAACCCTAGGCCCTAACCCCCCAAACCCTAAACCCTGAGAGTCGCTGGGCAAATGGCCCAGGCTAAGCCAGCTGGAGAGACCTAGCAGGGAACCGCCGACGGGCGTGCGCAGCTTGCCACTTTAATCTGGGGTTTCTCAAGATTGTCGGTACCTTCTTGCGGTCCTTATAAAAAGAGGTTGTAGTATTTTGGGTTTATATTGGGTCCCTCATTAGGGGGAGACAGTAGTTTTCAGTTGTCGTAATCCTTATATCTAACCCCTGTAAAGGCGTAGAACTTCAATTTTCACAAGGGCTCCCAATCTAACCCCTAAACCTTAAACGCAAAAGTAGGGGCTATTCTAGAGAGTCTTGAGACCAGTATGTATGGGTGAGCAGGAAGCCGGGCAGCATGCCTCCGAGAGCGGCTTCATGTCAACTATAGTCTAAACTCCTTAGAGGCGGTTGTATAGGGTCTAGCGTGTAGGTTCTAAACTCATTAAAGAGGGGTTATATAGGGTTTAGGGTGTAGGATTTAGGATTTAGGCTTTAGAGTCTGAACTCCTTCAAGGGGTTATGTGAGGGATTATATGGATTATATAGGGGAGTATTATAGGGGATTATGAAGGGGGATGCTAGGAGTTTTTCGACTATGGCTCATGTGGTCTGTGCTGTTCTGATGCTGTCGCTACTTACTATAGTCCCCTTAAGTAGATAGAATATGGCTTTGGGTATATTAGAATAACATCCCCATAAACCCATATTCTATCTACTTAAGGGGGACTATATGTTGGTACCTGTACGGTTTCAGGCGAATCACCACTCGTGGTCTGCTTTCTAGGCGGTGGGTAGCCCACAGCAGTTGGTCAGCATGCGGCTTACTCAGTTGGGGCTGCATTGTCTACTGCTACTGATGCCGCTCCTCCCTACATTGCCAAAGAATGCATGTGTAGCTCAAGCGTAGTGGCCTCAGTACAGTAGATGCCCTGGAGCACGAGCTCAGTTTTTTGCATTATAAAAAGGAAGGCTTTCGTGACCCCAACCCCTTGGTTATAGTCATATGACAGTTATAGAGTCCTCGATATAGGGGTTGGGTAATTAAAATTCCCTTGTTGATGATGCGAATACTTGATCTGCTTTCTATCCCTTAGCCAGCGAGGATTTTGCACAGTAGTACTCTGGCTTTAGGAGGGGCCCTTAGGTGGAACCCCTGTAGGGTATGGGGAGCAATATTGGGACTACATGGTTATACAGGGAGTAAAAAACTGAGGCAATGGGTTTGTCAGGAATCCTGTAATTGCTACAGACGCGCCCAGCAATTACAACTCTTGTCATGGCTGCTTCCGAGGCAGCCTGCTTTGGCGCCTTCAAGCATGGTGGCGATACTTCGGAGAACGCCCCCGCTGCTTCTGGAGGTTTGAAGAAGGCAGGGTTTCCGGTGGGTTCCGGTTTTAGGATTCAAGGACTCCAGATAGGCAAGCTGTAGAAAAGTGCAAAGTCATGAGCATTTCTAAAGAATCACTTTACCAGGCTACGCGTGTTTACGTTGAGGTTCTTCGCGCAACGAAACCCATGTCTTGAGAAATCCTGAGGTGGATGGGCCGCATTTAGTCCTTCAATGTCTTCTCTGGGTTCAGGGTTTAGGGTTCTAGGTTTAGGGTCGTGGGTTTCCGCCGCAACGGGTAGAGGTCTTTGTAGGGTTGACGGAGGAAACAGACGCGAAATGCATGAGGCAATTGCGGGGTGTCACCCAGCAGCAGTTTCAATCATTTTGATTCATCCAGGATACAGAAATCGGACTTGACGGGTGAGCGTCAGGGTATAAGCATGGCGGTTTCCAACACGGGGGACCCTCTTTCAGCTCTTAGAAACCTTAACCCCCTATACCCTAAACTACCCTAAACCCTAAATCCCTAAACCCTATAGCATCTTGGGGACAACCAATTTTGGAAACTCACCCGGTTTAGGGTTTAGGTACATTCTGTTGAGCGGCGATGTGGACTACGTGAGGTAATCAAGGCAATTTCAGGCTAGCATTCTGTTAAAGATGGGTCCTAAAGTCTGATAACGGGATTTTGGTACAAAAGGTGGCAATATGGTGTTTTCCCAAAGTTAGGGGCCCCAAACAATTTGGGATTTATACTGGGGTCCCCTATTGTGGGAAAGTATCAGATTAGTCCTAGCGGATGTTGAACCCTCCTCTTACTGTTAGAGAGAAGTGTTCACCCTGCAGCATTTAAAGCAGATTTTTAAATCATTTTTTGAAGTTCCGGGGAGCGTATTGCTTGGTCTTTGCAGGTGGGCCTAAAGCCTGAAGTTTGGAGTCTAGGCAGAGACCTTGGTGTAGGGTTTCGCGGTCTTGTATCATGGGGTCGATATGAAGGAGCCCCCAAACCCCCCCCCACCCCCCAAACAAGCCCCGCTGAGTGACAATAGGCCGTAGTCGTATCTGTTCTATGGGCCCCAGTAGTCCATAACGTGGGGTTTGGGTTTGGGGGTGCTCCTTCAATGGGGCCCATATCAACCTTAAGATGCCTATGATCCACATCATGTAAGGGTCTACATCACTTTCGGTTAGACAGCAATCACATTGGTGTTGATGACTGGTTTGTTGGATCTAAGGCCGTCTCCTAACCAGCCAGCATCAAGTTCGGGGCAAATTAGGCTGTGGCTATACTTATATACCCTAAACCCTAAGCCCTAGGCCCTAAACCCCAAACCCTAAGCCCTAAACCCTAAACCCTAATCCCAAACCGAAAAGGCGTGAAGGGGTGTAAAAAAAAACCAAACCTAAAACCCTAATAAAGTGAGAATTGGAGGTGGCAACCTTCCTAAAGTTCTGGCTTTG